TGTAGGTCCTCTATGCCCCGCCTCTCTCAAACGCTTCGTTTTCTACAAAGTCCCTCCTTCCGACAAGCGCAGTCTGCTCTGATTGGCCAGCTGACCCAGTGCATTGTGATTGGCCGAACACCGCAAGCACTCGTTGGAAATGTAACGCCCCTTATCATAATCGCGAGCTTCAGCTTTCAAAATAAATGTAAAGACAGAGCCCGAAAGGGGAACAGAGTCGCGTGACAGACACAGTGATGAAGCTGGTATGTGTTTGCAGTACACAAGCCACGGTTAAGACAGCTGACTCCACTGTGATGTAACCCCCTCTCTGTCTCTCCCTCTCTCTGTCTCTCTCTCTCTCGCTCTCTCTCTCTCTCTCTCTCTCGCTCGCGCTCTCTCTCTCGCTCGCGCTCTCTCTCTCTCGCGCGCTCTCGCTCTCGCTCGCGCACACACACACACACGATGCACAAAACTCTGCATTTGAACAGTCAATAGCAAATACTTAAACTAGTAACAAAACACAATCAGCTTGTAACACTCCAAAGAGAAAGGAAAACTTGAAATCGCATCATATGACCCCTTTAATAATTATTCCAAATTTTTGACCAGTAGTAGTAGTAGTGTTATATTCACAAAGATTTTGCTGGCTATATATAAAAGTAAGGAACATTGCAGTGAGAGTACTGCATGATGACGGCACTCACAGAGCTTTATGTTTCTCCTCTGCCAGGATCTGATCATTGGGCTTCAAGCCATACCTGTGCACAAATACATCCAATCAGTTAGTTCACACTAACAGAGCTGGAGGATATGAGGCTGTATGATCACTCAAGCGTGTGCAATCAGAAGAACACGCAGCACACATGACCTTTAAACACTGCGCTGCGTCCGTCTGCAGTTACACACAACACTCACTTATCAAGAAAGTCCTTATCCACCACGGCAGAGATGTCCAGCAGCGGATTCCCCATCCCGAACAGAGCATTCTGACTGCAAACACAAGACACAGATCACAATAAATCATTTTGCAACAATAATGCACTGATATTTGAATAACCTTTAAGTAAAGCATTGTGAATTACTATTGCATGCTATATAAATAAACATGCATTGCATATAATTAAAAATTCTAGAATTTACTCACCCTCATTCCAAATCTATTTATGCATTATTATTTATTTATTGGAATATTTTTTTTTTAAGCATAGAAGAGCACAAATTTGTCATGGGCAAAAACTGCCACCAAACTCATCACTCATTATATGCATAAGAACAGCATGAACATTCTGCTAATCATCTCATTTTTGTTTCCTGATAAATATTTCAAGTGTTTGGAATGACAAAAGATGAGCAGATTCCTGAGTGAACTATTTCTTTCATATCTATTCTGTGACAGTAACAGGTGGAGGTCACACGATCGGGTTTCCATGACCCTGCCTTTGAGACTTGACGCCTTGGAATGAGAAGCGTGTTTATTAGCCAGGGAACCAAATAGACCAGAATTCCTGCTCTTTTCCATACTGTGAAATTGACGTTGTAAAAGGTTGTTGGTTCTGAACCCCTGCAGAACCACTTTCTGGCTCTCCAGCTTTTATTATTTATATTTACAGTATTTTTATGCATTTGCCAGATGCATTTTTTTGTATTGCACTCAAGGTATATATTTTATTAGTTAGGAATCAAACCCATGACCTTGGTGTTGCTAGCACCATAAGGTACTGTACAGGCTTTCTGGTCAACTTCACTCTTCATGGCTCTGAATGAACTCACACGTCTAATATTAGCCTGACAAATGTCCATTTTACACACCAAACCAGTTGTGTATCATGTCAACTCTACATGCATTAGAGGTTAACACCAAAAACACTGTTTACAGACATTCTGAATTTGAATTAACATTGTGAAAAATTCATGCACCTTGAATCTTTTAACAAATAGAGTGTGTGTTTAATGGGTTTAAAAGGACTGTTTACAGCAGAGCACATGTTATAGTGCTGACTAAACTCTTTACACACACACACACACACACACTAAACTATGCACAGGACCGGACTGCAAATGATCTGAAACTAAGTAAGTTCTCCATTAAAATCACACAGGGCTGTGGATACAACTTGGACAAGCATACATTTATTGAGGAACTAAAAAAACAAAACTGCAACACAAGTGATCAGTGACTGCACATGTGCAATCATGCATTCTGGCATATAATGCATGCATTACTGTGACGCGTGTACATGCGTGACTAAATCAATCTGAAAAAGACCAACACATGAGTCACAGAACACCAGAAGAATTGTGGAGGATCAGCAGAAGGTGTCCTTCCCGTTATATATATATTAATAACCTTGTTAATAAATAGTGCACATTTTCTGCTTTCAAATATTAATATTTTTAAATGTTGTGTAAAATAAGCATTCATTTACATAAAGCCATGCATATTTATCTAATTTATTAACATGTGTATGTGGTCATTATAATAGCCATATCTGTTAACTTTTTGAGTTTTTTTTTATTCAACATTACAGAAATAACATTACATAATTCCTGAAGAAACTGTTTAGCATTTGTTATACAGAATAATGTTTTTTAGAACAAACTATAATATATATATATATATATATATATATATATATATATTGTAAACTGAGTAAGAAAATTACTTAAGATGTCAGAAATGAGGAAATAAAGCATGTTGCATCATACACAATCCCCAAACCGGAAGCAGACAAGCACAGAGACTGAGACTGGAGTAAATATTCGCAGTGCATTAGTGAAGTCTTACCTGACTGTAGGCATGATCACACACACACTTTGACTGTCTGCAGTAGCAGTGGCTCTGCTGCACGCTCTGTGTGTGTGTGTGTGTGTGTGTGTGAGCACATGTGATCAGTTCCCACACTCAAATTCCTGCAACCCGGAAATCCAAATCCGCTCCAGATGATTGGTTGTGTCACATGCATGGGCGGATGGATAGATCTATCATTCTGGTTGGCTGACAAGCCCATGTGTGTTTTAAAGGTCTGTCTGAAATGTCATGACGTGTGTAGCGCGTTCGCTGCGTGCATCTGACAGGATCGAACCACAAAAGTCAATAATCAAAAATCATGCATCCAGTGTCTCGCATGCACACATGACGACATGTGAACATCATGCATGCACTGTGTTGCATAGGCTATATATGACGTCCTGATATCAAATCGATGATGCACGAGCTCAGGAATGGATGCGCTGGTACATTTTGTTCAGGCGGCCGCGCAACCATCAAAACAGACATGCATTCGAGTCATTTCTGCATATCGCATCATAAACTACGCGTGCATGATGCATGTCGTGATATAATGCTCTGTTTACTGCATGAGCTGTGATCATGAAATCAATCATAAACATCTCCTCCCTGAACTCGACACGACACGAGTGTCACATGCGCATCGTGATACTGAGCATCAGATATCGCTTATGTGATTTTACCTCAGTGTCTTCTTGTTCTGCGTGTTTTTCTGTGCAGCAGTGCAGTCACACACCGACATCTTCCTGTGATCAGACAGACAGAACACGAGCTGATCTCAGATCAGATCTCACACTGCTGCTCTACCGCGCTTTATTTTCTACTGATGCGTTTAGCAGCTTTGCATTTGCAATATACATCAAAATTGTTGGAACATTTTTCTAGCAAAAAAAAAACAAAACAACAACACTAGCTTGCTCTATACTTTTTCTATTCTATCCGTTTTCTTTTCATTTATTATATAATTTTAAAAAACTTGCTAAAAACTAGCACTTGCATATCATTGCTCTTTTGTTGATTTTAAGTCGCTTTGGATAAAATGTGATGTTTATGATGTTAAAAAGTAGATTAAAGAAAAGTGTAGAATCTATCAATGTGTTTTTCTATAAGCATAAATACATTTGGGGTAAAATAGATCAATTTTATTTAGATTGAATTAATATGCATATTTATTTTTCTTCTTTATTCCATCCAGCATTTTTAGACTTAAGTTTTACAATATTTCAGAAAAAAAATAAAAATTAGATAACACAAGTAATAGTAAGGATGAGCTCAGATTTTATTTCCAATATGAAATTATAAAAAAAAATTGAGAGATTGTAAGAGTTCCATTTGTATAGTGTAAATATTTAACTTCAAAAATACACTAGATAAATTAATACTATTTAATAAAAAATAGTTTAATAAAATAGATATTTAGATATAGATAAAAAAATAGATATTTCCCCTAATTATTCTTTTTTTTTTTTAAATCACTTTTTAACTTTAACCGGGGATGTTGTATGTCAAAAAAATATTGTAATTGATCAAAAACAGTTAATTGTTAGAACATAATGAATGTCATAGAGGGTTAACTGTGGTAAAAAGTGCCATAAATGGACTTGAGTGTCAGTGACAACAGAAATAATACGAACATTAATGTTGAATAAATAGCTTTATATTTAGAAGGCCAATCTCATTTGCATGACCTTTAAAGCAATATATAATGCATATTCATTGACCATTTAAAGAAATGCCAACAAATATAGTCCGACCCATCTGATTGAGTTGATAATTAGTTCTTTTATTATGACAAGGCACATCAGGTCTTACAGGCTGTCTTTAAAGATGAACACATTATTTACATTAAACTGCTGGTCTCCAAAGCGATAGAAAAAGCAAATATAGCAAAGAGCTGATTCTCACTCATAAATATACTTGAGTGTGCTTTCTGTAGTAGTGTATGGAGCACAGTGATGTCTTAGTGGAAATACAAGGACGGCAGTGTGTGTGTGTGTGAGTGAGTGAGTGAGTGAGTGTGCGTGTGTGT